GCTAAGCTTACTTGCTTACTTGCATTTTGCCAATCAAAATTTATTTGAATTACAAAAATGCTTTGTTTGTAGCTTTTTACCAAACAATTGAGATATTGAGAGAACATTAAAAGTGACGAAATGCTCTCTCAGAGAGTTCATGTTTTCAGGTTAAATTTAACAGTTTTTGCGAGCAATTTGAAAAAATATCTATGTTCTCATGTTAAATTTAACATGGAATGTGCGTGAAATGAATAATTTTATGCTGTTTGCTGCATTCATATCTTTTTTAGTACAATTTGAATTTACACGGGCACACGTCGCAAGGTGTTGGAGGTTACAGTTAATTAAAAAAATAAAAAATAAAAAAATTAAAAAAAAAATAAATAAAGAGGAGTTTATCACATCTGTATGAAAGCGGATTAGTGCAATAAGCAAAGTGATAGAAATTAAAGGAAAATGTATATAATATTAATTTAAAATATAATAATAATTCCATTACGAAAAGTCGTTAAATATTCAAAACGAAAAAAATTTTTTTTTTTTGTTTTTAAAAATTCAATTAATGTTTAATGAAAATTAATAAAACGGTAAATAACGAAAATGTTCAATTTGTGTGTACAACTATTTGCTGAATGAAAAGTCAAAGGTGAAAATGAGAAAAATTTCAAGTCTGTGTGTAGTCTCTAAATGAATCCACCACCAAAAAAAAAAAAAAAAAGAGGAAAAGTAAAAGCAATCCTTTTAAAAAAACCTGCAGAAAAGTTTTAAATGACAGAAAGATGAGATGAACTCTCAGATTGACAAGAGAGATGAATTGTTACTGAAGTCTTAAAGGAAATATGCAAATAAAATTTTTGAAATTATGGCTAAAAACCATTTGTGAACAAAGATTTCTCTCAGTCGCTCATACAATAATTAAAATTTTATAAAGCATTATTTATTTATTGTTATTGTTAAAACTATTCGAGTCAGACAATTAGAATTCATTCTAAGACTAAAGTCTAAAAGCACTAGCTTCTAAGGCTAACGGTTGGATTGAAAACACTACCGCACTTGAGATTTGAACCTACGACCATTGACTTGTTAGCTGAGATAGTCCTCGGCCAGTCAAGCGGATTTTCATTTAATAAAACATTTTTAAAGCTAAAGAATAATTTACTGAAGTATTCTGTATTAATTTTTATTTTTATTTTAAAAGGCATTTCAAATAATGCGTATATTAATCCCGCAAGCAACTATTATCTGTTATTACTATGCACAGAGCATTGTTTGCTTTTCCTTTTCTTTTTTTTTTTACTCGAACTTGTTCTCATTTCAGTATTCCTTTGATTAACATTGTTTCTCTCTTATTAGCCTGCTTATTCTCTCTCTCTGTAAACACATAACACACATAAATTGTTGTTGCTCGTGTTTATTGCTTTTCGGTTATCAAAGTCCTTTTTTCCCTGCAAAGTTTTGAACAAAACCTTGCAGCGAAAAAAATGTTTACCATATATACGAAAGGCATGTGAACGTATGTTAGTGCATATGTGTGTTTAATTTCTGTATTCTGCACAGGTCAGTAAAACGTAAGACTCCGCATACAAGCAAGCACACAGCCATACTTATATATTACAAAATAAGTGTAGGTGTTTTATTTGCTGAAAATTTCATTTGTTGCATGTGCTTTGTATGGATATTTGTTTTTGCTACTGTTGCTCTCTTTCTCCTTTGTTTTTTTCGGGCATTTTATTCATATTCAAATTTTATTTGATTCGTTCATTTTAATGGAGCTCATAAAAGCCGCACACGTACCATATAATATATAATAGAATAAATTTGCAGTCAGCAATTCAGTCGTCACTTTAGAAATCGTCACGACATGTGCAACTAATTTCAATAAGATGTCTTTATTCAAGATTCTGTCATATTTCAAATAATGGTAGTAAAGAATCTAAGCATTTACTTTTATATAAATTAAAGTAAATATGAAGAGTTTTATGGAAAAACTGAGAAATAAGATTTTCAAGCGGTTCTAGTTAGTCTTGGTGAGAGGAAGATAGAGGGAAAATTTGAACTACACCGATAAAAAATCCTGATAAGTTGCGATTTACTTTTTTAAGGCAGTACCAATTCTTTCGCTGCGTACAAGAGATATTCTCAACAACGTGGAAGAAAGGTCGACTGACCAATGTTTATGTTTCTTGAAATTTGTTATGTAGATTGAGGTGTGGATTGGAAAGATTCCCCTCAAGACTAACATAGATGTTTTGATTATTAAGCCATAGACCCGTTTCGATAATTATACGTTACAGATTAGTTTTCGGAAACTCTGAATAAATTCGGGAGACTGAAATTTAAGAAACTTATATTAGCCCATATTATATTGCATTCAAAGTGGTAGCTACTGCTCAATCTTTCCGTTTCATTACATTCAGCAAAGAATGCAAGGGCAGAATAAGGAATACAATTTTGGGTTAGCATAGCGCTCTGAGCTCGTTCAATCTTTGTTCGCTTCATTGAGGCATCAGTTGATCAGTTTTTACATACGTTAGTCTATACATTTCCAAGCGTTCGCTGGCACGTTTATATGTCTAGCACGGCTTCGAACACAGTGGCCCAACTGGTGTTAAGCACTCTGTCCAGCATTAGTTTTGTTCTGTCTACACTAGTTCGGCGAATGTTCGCGTCTACATATTGTAAAAGTTTGTAGCTTTTCAGCATGGTCATGGGCTTCGGTATAGAACCAACGAAAAAAAATTCTTGGCTGTTAAATTACAGGTCCGCGACGGTCTGAATGGAGAAGCGACGATAGCGAGTCAATTATCTGGTCAACAAACGATGATAACGTCACCCGCAATTGAGCTGACGAGTGGTGAATCGCTGAAGAAAGTATATTTGAAACTGGAGATTACAAATGCCGCTCGTAATAAAAGACGCTTTAGCATATTATACTTCTACGATACTACTCTACTATGTCCTTTTAAGAGATGTATTACCTAACCTTAATAAAGCGAGTAAGCAATCAGTGTGTGATTCTGATCATGCCTAGTTGTTAAGCTGTTCGCTTGTCCCGTCTCAAAGTTTGAAAGCACAAATATCAAATTTATACTTACAGAGAGTGTTTTTTATTTCTCCCAATTTCCTACATCGATGTAGAGTTTAATTCGTGGTTTTTTTCTTCTCTGCGTCCTTGTGGCACAAGGATGTATTTAGTTTGTGCGGGCATATGCCACACCCGGAAGAAGGAAGAAGGTAGGCGCACCTGTTATTCAACATCTTTTTCTGAATCGAGCTAAGCTTGTTTGTCTGTCTGTCTGCTCGTCTTATTTTCTTGCATTCATCTTACAAATCGCAAATATTTTGATTGTATATTTTAGCTCAAGGACTGAGACGGTTCAAAATAGCTCATATCGGAGCACTTGTTTCCGTAGTAATTTATTTTGAAAACTCGTTACATGAATAACTACAGAAGGGTGTGGGATATTTGATGGTGGGCCGTGTCCCGCTCTAGTATTTTCGCTTGTTTATTCTCTCGAAGTTGGTTGGTTCAGTCAGTTATACGAACCTAGGATCATTTAGTTATGCCACTATTTTTAAACATATTTCATCTACGTCATGTGGTAAATTATTCATGTAATGAAGTATCAACTTTCCGCATTCACTTCTGTGCTGTTGGAAGGCGACGCAGTTAAACAAGAAATCATTAGAAATCATTGAACCTCTCAAAATAGACGCGTACGTTTATTAAAGGCAAGGAGTATTTTTAGTATTAGACGTTGCGGTGCGCTTTCGAGAACCAACTGAAAGTCAGTCGACTAAGCAGTTTAGAACTCACCTTTACATTTGTATGATTAAAAATAAAGTTTAATTCGCGTAAGTACGCCTACTTACAAGAGCGTTCATGCATTCATTGCTTATGCCCATAACAATTTATGAACACATCTGTATGTTAAAGAGAAGGAAAAAAAAAAGGCTAAACCAACTATCGAGTAAGTATTGACATTGATGGATAATTAATAATAAAAATATAAAAAGCGAAAAGTCATATTCATAAACCAAACAATTTTAATTAACATAAATTTTTAATAAGACAACATATGCGCACTCATTATGTGTTCAAAAAACAAAACACTATGTACGCTTGAAGGCAATTGTTGTACACATATCGCTTAAGATAAGAATGTGAGAATTTTGCATTTTTTTTTGTTGTTTTTATTAGTTGTCGGGTCAATAGATCGATTGGAATTGTAATTACCCTTTAGTGAGACTTATTAGATGGCTTATCTGCACACGGTCCGGCTTGTATGGGTTGTGAGTTGAGCTACCTTTTTTTTTGGGTGATTATTGTAAGTGTCTAATATACATATTGTGGTGTGTGTGTGTGTGTGTGTGTGTGTGTGTGTGGGCAATTACTTGCGTGCAAATTAAATTTGCATTCGAATCGGATTTATAAACAAGAACGAATGCTATATGCGGCAAGCTTTTGTTTTCGATATCAATTTCTGTAACCGTCAGAGCTCCAAGAACAAGGCCCTTGCAGCAGACACATCCGTGCACGACAAAACGAATATATCCATTATAGCGTGAAAAAAGTTAAATAAATCCAACAATAATAACAAATAATATTGAAAGCAGTGATTAAAAAATGGGAAAAATATATGAAGAGAAGATTTTAGCGAAAAGCTTCAAGTTTAGTAAATACGCGAGTAACTAACCGAGCACAAGCATACGCGCACCCAGTGATAATTTCATTATGATATAAACAACGGTGCTATTATGTGTGTGTGTGTGTGTGTGTGTGTGTGTGTGTGGGTGTGTGGGGATTACATATTTGATCCTCTTCTGTGCTTATTTGAATAGAAATTTGAAACAACAATGATGCTATTGTTGCTACCATTGAAAAACAGCAGATAGTCAATGGTTCATAGTTTGAAAAAAACATTTTAAATAACGAGTCTTATAACTTATGTGAGGCAAATTTATTAGCGCGGCAGCAGAATTTTTTACGTATGTTAACGGCTTTATAAAAAGCATTGTAAAAATGTTTTCCATTCGAATGGATTTTGTATTGTTTTGTAAAGTGCTGTTGAAACGAGCTTAAATATGCAAAATAAAAATTCGAAACTAATTATTTGTGTGCAATATTTATATAATGTAAATAATCGAAAAAAAAAAATGCATAACACATACTCTATATACTGTTGGTCTTTTCAAACTTCATCAACGTGTATTAATTCGTTAGAACAAAGGCAACTAAAATGATACAATATCGAATACTAATAACCTGATCTCTTGAATTGCGCGGAAATACTATATTCGATGTAAGACGGCTTTGTTCCAATTATTTTGAAATGATGGGCGTGCCAATTGATTTACTTCTTGTCTTATAGGTGTATAGTCGGGGGAGGCCAATCTTAGTTTTAACATACATAACTTATTTGCTAGGCTTACTACTTCGGCTCGGATAAACACACAATTAGTTAAGTGTACGGACGAACAGGCGAACTTTAAGACTTATGCCTTACAAGGTTATTAGGTTGTAGAGTATAAGAATTGGGTTAGATTGAACTTCTTTTCGCGCAGCCTGCAACCGTTTTGTATATTTTTCCAACGCAACATTCTCGCAACACTCTTTAGCATTCTAGATTTGGTTTAAAGGCTATATCTCTTAAGCAGTGACTGAGTGGGCAGATTACATTTATTTTCAAAACTGATCTGTTGCCACTATGTGCTTTTAGTAGTATTATCTTAATTTTTGGAGCCTAGAGTATTCCATCGAAGGAGGGCAGGCACACGGACGAACGGACAGCCGGGCAGTGTAAAACTTGCACTTATGGAAAGCATGCATCCTTAACGTGGAGGAGGACAATTCGAGAAAGCTACTTAGTCAGTATGAGAGCAAAGGAAGCCACATGATAAACAGACAATTTTCGTTATTCGAACTGCATCAGACGTAGATAAAGACGCAGTTTAGTGACCAATATTATTGAGAATGAGTTTTCGCCTATCCGAAGTTATTTCACATGTCTTGACCAAGAGTTCAGTTAACACGATTTTAGTTTTTTTATACTACACAATTTATTGTTAACCGCCCCGATTCAAGATAAATTCTTCCATTGTTTGATTTGTTTATCGGAACGATCGCAAAAACCGAATTCATATGTAGCTTCTAAGAGAAAATTAAAAAAAAAAAAAAAGAAGAAATTGGCTCCTGATGTTGAGAAGAGGGTCTCCTATGGTGTGTGCGTTTGTATAAAAAGGGAAACACATTGTATTCCCATTTGCATACTCTCGTCTTTATTTTTTTTAATATAATCTGTTTAACTAGTTGTAGCTAAATGGTTAAAAAAAAAAATTAAAACTGCGACGGTATTTGTTTGCCTTAATCTATATCGGAAGGTGCGTGTGCTGTTTTGCACTCTTTCGGTTTGTTTTATTTTTATTTCCAATACCAGTTCATTTATAAATCAATGTAATGAAAACGATTAATTCAGTCAAAAAGAAAAATTTAAAATTCTATAAAGACTATTAGTGCTACACGTAGTCAAAGGATCAAATAAATCAGAGAAGTGACTTCATGACCTTCGCGCTCTTCAACTTTTTAAGCCGATTGTACGGAAAAGTATTATTTATTTTTTTTACTTTTTTTTTTCATTTCATTCGCATCAATCATATCAGTAAGAGCGCGTAGTACATGCATTACCGTTGTTTCTATACTTAAACATATTTTGATGAGGAATTTTTATTGAGCACAATAGAACACAAGGTAAGTTGAGAAAAATATTAAAAATAAAATAAATAAACTTTCATTCTGTTGAAAATCATTATACATAGATTTTGTTAAAATTTTGAAATATTGATTTTTATATCCACTATCGTAGGAAACGAGTGTGAGGGTAGCACACTAGAACTTTCTTTTCGTTTGTAACAGCAGAGACATTCTTAAGCATATATCTTTTGATAAGGGAAAGGATTTTAACTATGTCTGTCCTTTGTCTGTCTGTCCATTGCAACTATGTCTTGTATCCGAGCAGGTTTAATACACACATTTCTCGAAAATTCTTGAAATTTTGGGCAGACCCATTCACTCGACTGCAGAATTAGGCAAAGGGAAAAAAAACTACTTGTCATGCAGATGAATAAATTTCTACCGTTTTATTTTTTTAAAGAAAAAAAAAACTTATTTTGCGAAAATGACGAAAAATATTTTACTTTTAATATTCGAAATAATAGCACCGAGTAATCTGACTAAGCGATGGATAGATATGGACTATATTGCAGAACCAGGTTCTTCTCTGATCAAAAACATACACATTTCTTAATAATTCCAAAAAGTGTTACTAGCTGTTGCAAACGGGGAGAGCAGTTTAGTACACTTGCCTGCTTTGATGGCGATTAAGAAAACGAATACATTTCAAATTGATAGAAGGAGGGAGGTCTTTGTTTTTGCTTACTCTATTGATGGTATTTAAAATAGTTTTATTTTCTTTAAGCGAATGAAAAAATGTGGAAACGTTTGGTGTTTCTCTATGTGTGTGATGACAACAAATGGATGGATATAAAAATAATTTGCCCGCATTCTGACATTCCAAAAAAACTTACTGTATCACTTTGTGTTTTTTTTGGAGAATTTGGCTAAGAAGAAGATTAATAAGAAAAGTATTTTTATATCAACGTTTCACTTACAAGCTTGTTTGAATCTACATCGACATTTGACAAACTTGTACTTGAACTTATTGAAAAAAAAAAACCAAAAAAAAAACTAAACTTTCCCTATCGCTGGATACACTTGCAGTAAGTAAATCATTCTTCAAGTGCTTTTTTTCTTTGGAAGTTTCTTATTTAAATAACTCGAAGTACATAGCCGATTACATAAAACTGAGCCATTTTCGTAAAAAGAATAATCATCGATAACTTTTTTCATTACTTTTAATGATAATGTTGTAGCATTGTTGTAGCCACTTGTATGACGTCGTAAAGCCCGCTCCTTTTAGTGCCGAAAATAAGAGAGAAATTTTATAAATAATTTTCGACGAGGTTGCTGCTTGAAATCGAAAAGTGCCTAAGCACGCAGTCGAATTAAGATTGATGGATTGCTTTCAGCAATCCATTGATTGGCAGCTACGCTTGCATATTTTTCCAGCAAATGATAATCAGTGACGGTTTTGAAACGCATTATTTCTATACAAAATTTTTGCTATGATTGATATCTAGTTCGTATTGAATGCTTTTACACAACTAAAAGCCATTATTAACACAAATATTTTTGCATAAATTAAATTTGCAATATCTACACTTTATAGTTGCTTGTTAAATGCACATATTTATCAAATGACGCCCAAGTTGTATAATAGCAGCTTGAAATCAAGCCAGGCTTACTCTCCCGTAGTGGTGATAGGGTGGGCGAAAGTCTTTCCATTCCTTACAACTATTAGCTTTCAGTTATGGGCAAAGAAGATCCGTCCAAAGTTGCTCCTTTAACCAGATCCAGGTGTGTTTTTCGAAACCAGTAATGAAGAGGTTTTGGAAATTTGGCAAAATGGCCTGAAAATATTGTAATCTCACTATAGTAGGCATTTAAAAAATGACTTCAAGATTACCTATGCCTTAGGATATAAGAAAACAAAGAAAATCTTACAACTAATTACTCTGATGACTCAAAGTTAATCGCAGATTATTATTATTATTATTATTATTAATTTCGCCATAGAAATAAATTCTAAGACTAAACTCTTGAAAGCAATAGCATCTAAGGCTATCGGCCTTTATTAAAAACTCTACCGCATTTGAGATTCGAACCCACGACCACTGAGTTGCTAGTCGAGACTCTTGCCTACTCGGCCACCCAGGCGGATAAAAAATAATCGCAGATTAAGGCTGCTGACTCCTTTGCCGGACTCCAGCATGTTTGGTTTTGAAGGGGCACTGACCCACTATTTCTTAGAAGTAAGCGTCGAGAGGCTACTGTATACTTCGGATTCCTATACGATTCCTGGATTCCTGTTATCGTGATGGTCTTCTAAGCCAACATCCGGTTTCCTTGATAATTTAGGACTACCATCCCGAAGTGAAAATTATTCGTGGGGGTGAAAATTCACTACAAATTGTTTGTTCATTGAAGCTAAATTCAATTCAGCACATCCTGCCTTCTGTCGACACCTTCGCCATATTGTAAGCTGTCACGATCTTGTCCTATCGTCCAGGCGTTCTTGTGTACTGTTTTCTTGTACTTATTTTATTATTATTTATACCAGTGGACATGTCCACAGTAAAATTAGAAGTAGGGAACAGGCAGAAGCTTGCTTTTGCGGATAGGCAACAACTTAATCCAAGGCAAAGTAATTCACATTACTAATCACCGGTTTCCTAAGGAACGATTCCCAGATTTGCTACTTATACAGATTGCATTAAAGGTAACACACTTTGTAACTGCAGTGACTTAAGTGCTGTGGCCTAGCTGAGTAGGCAAGCCAGTATTCGCGGTTTCGAGTCCATGTGCAGTTTCTTACCATTCTTGGTCGTAGTTTTAGCTGCGAGTGGGAGCAATCCGCAAAAGCACCATCGTTCTTATCTTTTGGGCACACATCCATTAGGCCGAGGCTACTCGTTACTCGATCGTTACCGTGCCGTACACTTACATGGGGCATTTATGGAGTGAGTCATATTAAAGAGAAAATAGTGAGAGATTTTGAGCCCTTACATTGCTTAAAAAAACTAGAATTTTTTTTAAGAGGCGGAGAAAACTATCAATCACACCTTTATTCCCCAGAATTGCATATCCCTGGCCCCCAAATTTTTGGCTTATATTTGCGAAAAGCTAATGATACGCCATCTTTTCGAGATAGTAGCTTAATACGGCGCCGTAACCGTGCACTACAAAGGATGAGAGAACCGACTTATTGAGAATACAGGTTGCTGTTTGGCATTATATGTGACTGCACAGTTTTGCAAACGAAAAAAAAAAAAGAGACTAAAAATTGAAAAAGAATTTACTTTTTCGCAAAAAAATAATCGGTTATCGTTCCTATTCGCATTCTAATAGTTTTAGGCATTTGCCTCAGTAAACCTGATGTATGTACGAAGATGGGTATGCGGAATGGAAAACCTTGATAGGTAGGAAAAGTTTTTCGTTGCTCTATGCGAGTCAGTTATGTGTACAATTGTAAACTCAATTTTCTTAAATGCTTCCATTGAATAAACATAACGTACAGACATCCTGTAGCGAGAAAGCGTGTTAAAATGCATGCATATCTACGTGTGTAGATGTGTCATGTGTGTGTTCTGTGGCATATATGTCATTGCTGTTTTTGTTTGTTCATATGGTTACCATTTTTAATACATTAGCTAAGCAAAAAAAAAAAAAAAAAGAAGCGGGAACACAACGGTAAAATTGTTGCTCATATGCATGTGAATTTTCACCGCTTTTTCCTTTACCTTTACATTCTTCTTGCTTTTTTTATTATCACATTTTAAGTCATATACGACGGTTTGTAGTTTGAATAACGGTGTTATGAGAAATTGTATTTACTTATTTAGTTTTCTCTATCTGTTCTTTTTTTTTTTTTTCTTTTGAACATTATTTGCCCATAGGGTGTAACAACATGAACGTATAACTTTCAATTTATCAAAAAAAAAAAAAAATAAATAAAAATCATACTAGAATTGCTTTACTTAAAATCCTTCATACAAATCCGTAATATTCGAGATCATCTCTCATATCACAAAAAGACTCGAAAATTACATTATTAACCCGGACTAAGTGCCATGATGATATGTATCACTTTACAAGGTTGTACATATATATATACATGTGTTGCATTAATATTCAATGCTTTTAAAAATAATTTACAATAAATATAATGTATTTTTCACTTTCAATCCTCTTATATAAAGGTTGTTATATTTAATTATTATAATTAATTAAATATAATTTGAATTCAAAGTTGATAGCATTCATCCAATGATTATTTGCAAAGAGTTTCCCAATATTTTTTTTTCTTAAATTCCTATCACTCCACATTACAATTGTTGTTGTTGGCTTGTTGAATTGAGAGAAGAGTCGTTAGGCCTATTTAATAAACCCAACTCCTTTAGATGATTATCAATGCCTCATCTGCCATAAGAATTATCGAAAGTTTTCGTTAAAAGAGGAGGCTTTCAGTGGCTTCATGGGGTACATATATACAGCAACAAATTCTCAATCGAACATTAGCATTGAGCCATTAATACTTACTTGGAATATTCTCATTAGCCCTCGTAAAATGCGTGAACATTTTTTGCTTTCTAATATGAATTTTAATTTTTATATTATCATTATACAATCGGCTCAGACCGCCTACCAGAGTCACATAATGATGCTACGGCAGCAGAGGAAGATGAAAGTATTTATTTTTCTAATTAATAAAAGTAATTGATAGCTGATTGAAATGTCCATTACCTTACTTCCGCTGTTTAGAACTCGTGGAGGAAAAATGCACTAAGTACTTTTTCTGTATTTTCTCTGAAGATAATTGCATTCCAGACTACAAAATTTGCTTTAGTATGTGCGGACATTTATATTTGGTGATTGTCTACGAAACAGTATCGGTAATTAATGACATCGAGTTTTACAGCAAAATGATAATTGAAACCTCATTATGAAAACGTAATTAATGAGTTATATCTGTCAACCGACGATATATTTAAGTACTTTCATAAAGTTCGAAATTGACATTACAGTTAGAAACTTTCATCAGACAATTACTGAATGATATCCTTTCACAGTGA